GGGAGATTGAGATTTGTCTTCTGACTCTTTTTGTATCTTCAGCACTATACACAGTGCCCAGCACATAGTAGGTGCTTAGGTTTACTGATCACCTAACAGCTAGGAATCAAGGAATTAGGACTTAAACCCAGACATCTTGAAAGATTCAAGACCTGGATCAAAGCATTTTTTAAAAGAAGGAAACATGTACTATGGAGGTCTAACTGATCAGCTATTTTCAGTTAATTGATTAAAATCAATGTGATCTATCACTAAGTAAATGTTACTATGAGAAGGACCTGGAAAACAATGGTGTCTAACTCATATCAAAACGAAAGCCTTTGAACCATACATGTGATCCCAGCAGGCCACATACAGAATTAGAAAACCATTTATTAATATTATCTGTATGTTATTGTATTTTATTTATTTTATTAAATATTTCCCAATTACGTATTAATTTGTAGTTCAGGCCAGACTCAGGAGTGTTGTGGGTTGCATGCAGGCTAAAATGCTGAGTGTTTGACATCCACAGTATAAAGCATTTAAAACTGCTGTTTTGACTTTCCTCTTTTCTCATTTCTAAACTGTATAATCTGGTTTTCAACCTCATGATTCAACTAAAACTGCTCTTTCCAAAGCTAACAATGGTTTAATTGTCATGTCTAATGTCTTCTTCTCAATCTTCCTCCTTGTTGACCCTGTTTGTACCGCTGATACTGTCCTTCGCAATCTTCTCCTCTCTCTCCTGATTAGTCTTCCACCTGTCTGACCATTCCTGTCTCCTCTGAAGACTCTTCATCCCAATCAACCCAAGAATGACACAGGTGTCCCTCCCATCCATCCTACGCCACCTTCGCTTATGCCTCCAGATTTCTTAATGTTGTTCGTTAACTTGTTCCTTCTTAGTATTTCAAGATGATTGATCTACTTTATAATCCTTTGTATTTTATTTATGCATTGTAAAAGGTTTCACCAGACTGGCAAAGGGGGAAGGAAGGAAGGAAGGAAAGAAGGAAGAAAGGAAGGAAGGAAGGAAGGAAGGAAGGAAGGAAGGAAGGAAGGAAGGAAGGAAGGGAGGAAAAAAGAAAGAAAGAAAGAAAGAAAGAAAGAAAGAAAGAAAGAAAGAAAGAAAGAAAGAAAGAAAGAAAGAAAGAAAGAAAGAAAGAAAGAAAGGAGGGAGGGAAGAAGGTAAAAAAGGAAGGAACACCTACTCTATACTATTTCATCAGTTACCATGGAGTCAATTAACTTTCCTGTATGGAGGAGTCTCCATTTTACATACTCAGACCTAACCTCTTTCCTGAGCTCCAGCTCTCCCACACTAATTGCCTTTTGAGCATCTCAAACTCAACATGTTCAAAAGAGAACCTGCCTTTCCCCTCCAAGACCTCCCCTCTCCCCAACTCCCCAACAGCACTCACATCTTCCCAGTCACCCAGGCTTGCACACTCTCACTCCATACCTAAGATCTGTTGAATAGTCTTGTCATTCATCTCCTTAAGCATTATCATCTCTCTTTTGATGCGGCCACCACTCTGGTCGAGTACTAGCTTTCTGATTGGCCTCCCTGCCTTCAGTCTCCACCCACTCCAATGCACCCTCCACTCAGCTGCCGAGTGATTTTCCTGAATCACTCAGAATTACCCTAGTGACTGACCCCCTACAAAACAGCTAGTAAGGGTCAGAGGTGGGATCCAAATGTAGGCTTTCTTGACTCCAACTCTGACCCTCAATCTGCTATGTCACGTTGTCTTCTCTACCATTTAGCATCCTTGTTGGAAATGCCTCTTTTGTCCTTTTCCATGTTCCTTGTTCACAATGACTTAAATAAACAATTTACTTATCTGCCAACGCAGGCAGACGTGCCAATAATTGGGCTGTGCAAAAAAGGAGAAAATGAGAGATAAGTCTTAGAGCAGCTCACATCAGACGAGGGAAGATTTCTGTGATTGTAGTTGGCCTAACACAGGGAAGAAATAAACATGTTTAAATTTTAGAGAATCGGAAATCTCCTTTGATTGCTGCCCAAAAATTCAGCAACTCTCCACTGCAGATTATTTTGTTCTTAACAACACAGCAAACAGAAAACAGAGCTGATTGTTAGAACTCTTTCAAACTAGGAGACTGTTGCTCCGTAGTCTATTTTAACAGGCCCCAGGTAACGTCCTTAAGGATGTGACTTCCTTTGTACTTTCTACAAAGAGATTTCACCCCTTGTTCTCACTCTCTCTTCTCTGACCGCTCGTCTCAAAGTTTAGAAAGGATTTTGAAATTCTAAGAAATACCAAAACCTATCTGTTTTTCTCTCTCACAGTGTTGACTGTGTTTTTTTTTCTTTCCATACCTCTAAATTGCCAAGTAACACTACCAATATCAAAGAAAATACTTTATAGCTGATTTGGGGGCTCTGATAGGAAAGACAGCTAGTGACCCCTCTGGGATCACACGTGGAGTCCTGGACTCAGAGGCTTTCTAGTGAAGCCTCTAATTCCACAGACGATGCACTGAGGCTCAAGGTCATTACAGAACGTTCCCAAGGTCACAGATGTGGTGTGAAGATTCCAATCCTATCTTGATGCACAAACAACAGAAAAATCATTGCTTTTCACCAATAGGCCTGCAACTTTTCTTAATCTCCCCTCCCACAGGAGAGCTCTAAATTAGATTAAGCAGTGCTACTGAAAACGCTGCATTGTACAGCAGTGACTGGCAGAGTCAGGTGTTCCCAGGGCTCTTGAGTAAATATTCTGAGTCACAGGAGGGTGGCGGAGCAGGAACCCCAAAATGGGCTGAACAGCCACGATGGAGCTTTAGTGGTTATGTGTCAACCTGGTGGGTGTGAGATCCTCTTAAAGAGTCCATGCTGCTGCCATGGCAACAAGTAGATTATTGGGCCCTTTCCAATGGCGCGTGGTCGTATAGAGGAAAGAGGCAGAGGAGATGTGGGTTCAAAGCCAGGCTCTCCCTCAGACTGCCTACTTAACTTCAAACAAGTGAGTTAATATCTGTGGAGGGGCCTCAGTTTCCTCCTCAAAAGGAAGGCTGAATTCTGCTTAACTCTAATGCTAATACACTCACCTCTTAATGAGCCTTTCCTCTGTTGATTATCTCTTATTTATCTTATCCATACCTGGTTGGTACACAGTAGTTTGTAAGTTGCCACTTCTATTAGATTTAATCTCCTTGCCTGCAGGAACTGGTTTTTTTCTGTTTTTGGTTTTGCCTTTCTTTGTGTGGTCAGCGTTTAGCATAGCACTTGGCACATAGTAGATGCTTCCTGACTGACTAGTAGGGAACTCAGTCTCTCGAGCCTCAGATATTCTGCAGAATATCTTCCTGATCTACCCTCAAAACTTAGGTCTACACTCAAAATCAAGCTTATGTAGGAAAAATTAGGGATATGTGTGTGTGTGTGTGTGCACGCGCACGCCTGTGCACACACACACCTGCCCATACTCATGCTTAGGTGGGAAGCGGGTGAGAAGGAGGCAGGGGACTGATAGCAGAGATGCATTTCTGCATATTTGGAGAATCACTGGGCAAAGATTCCGCCATACTATATCAAAGAGATGGGAAATCCAGAGAACAAAGACACCTGTTTAAATGACCAGCTGGCCCTGGTACTGAGACTCTGGTCAAGTTTTAATGCTGTGAGAAGAGAAAACATTGAAATAACGGGGTGCACAAGGAGGACTGTGTTTGGCCAGCATTTCAGACTAAGGGTTCCTGAATTCTCTGCAATGTGTGATGATACTAACAATCTTTCCTCCTAGAGACCCTCTCCTGGACTTGGATTTCCTCTTAGCTCTCTGACCACTGGTCAGTCTCTTTTACTGTATCCTTACCTCTATCACATCCACTAACTGTGGGTACCTCCCACCCCCAAGGTCCTGTCTTGGGTCCTTCTGTCTTTCTCTCTCTCTTTTCTTATCTGAATCTCATCACCTCTTATGAGGTCAATGATCCCCACTGAAGGTGATTCCCAGATCTATTGATCCAGCCCTGGACTTGCTCCTGAGTTCTAATCTCTCCTGACAAATTGCCTATTGGGTTATTTTGATCTGGATGCCCCACAGACATCTCAAATTCCACATGTCCAAAAGAGAACTCATTCTTTCTTCCCAAATCCTCCCCTCTCCACCATTCTCCCAGTCTCCCAGGTCTACCACCTCGGTATCATCCTGAATTCCTCTTTCTCATTCATACCACATATTCAATCGCTTGTCAAATCTTGTAATTTATTTCTCTATAATATCTTATGTACATTCTCAGTTCTCCATTAACATAGCCATTACACTAGTTTGAGGCCCCCAGCACCTCTGGCCCGGATGACTGCATTAACTTTGTAGGTGGTCTACCTGACTCAAGTTTCCCCCCACTCCAATCCATCCTTCACTAAGCTCTCACAGTGACAAGTACAACTCCATCATATCAGGATCAACTAAGAAGCTCTTTTGTATTTATGTCTTTTCCTCAGCTTATGACCCCTGGCTTCCCTTAATACTCACAATTATCCACCTACTCTGCTTTTATCTTTCATATTCTGATTTTTGCAGGCTGCTTTTCTCATTCAAATATGAGCACTCTAAGTGGAAGGAATATTTTTGCTTCTTTGTATTCTGAACCATTAGTCCAGGGCTTGGCACATACCAAGTATTTAATAAAAGCTTGTCAACTGACTGATTGAGGGAGATGCTAAGATGGAGGAAGAGGAGAGGGAAGAGAAGGTAAAAGGCAATGGGAGACAATTCTATCACTGCAACTAAGGCAGGTAGGCTCTGCTCAACCCAGCACGTTTGCAGACCCTTTGTCCTAAGGCAATTAATATGAAAGTCTTGGTGATGCCAAGGCAAGACACTTAAACCCTTCTGGCCTCAGTTTCCTCATCTATAAAATAAAGTCTTCTAAAGTCGCTTCTAGCTCTGTAGTGACCACAAAATTACATACCACTGATGGGCTCCTTTCAGTCTAAGAAAATAGGGTGAAGAATGGCTGGGTCAAATGAATGATAAATTTACCTGGGATATATATCCTGGGGGCACATGGATGGGGGGAATGGATCCATTAGGTGACATCATGGGAACTTCAGCAGGTCCTAGAAAAAAAAGAAGAAAAATAAGGTATGAATGTTGTCCCTCCCAAAAACATCTGATTTCCAGACTAACTGGTACATTGTTTTCTATGGATTGTCCAAATGGAAGACATCTGACCATCTGCTGTTGCTCCTTTACATCAATGCATTCAACTTGGCCTTCTCGATCAACCTTCTTGCTCTTGGTTTCAAAATCAGAGAATCCAATGAATTCTCCAGTTTTTCCACCTTAGGAGGAAAAGTGAAGATCAACAACCATCCATTCCAGCTTCAAAATTCCTTCAGCCTTGGGTCTGACACAGACTTTGAAACAATGCAGTTGGATTTTCTGTGTTCTGTTCTCTAGATAGGCGGGGTTTCTCCAAGGTCAGAGAGGGAAGGCGATTTTTAAATAAGTAGTGCTTTTCTAGAAAGCTAAACCAATTTGAACGTGATTTTACTTTCTCTTCTGGAAACTTGACTCTAACCAAATCAACAAAGTCTTGAGTATCTTGTACAATAAAATTCAGTAAAATTCATTAATTTGAAATGGAAGTAACCTGAAAGGCAAAAAAATATTCAACTCCCTGGGTTTGCATTGTCTGACATTTTAATTAGAGAATAGGATACCTAAGTCATTTAAAGAACAGGTCGTGAGAAACAGAGCTTGTTTTCAAATAGAAAATACTTTTAGATAATCCCATAGCAACAATAGATGGCTTTGCAACCTGCTTTGGAACTCTTTTCACCATTTCAAATGAATCCCCTCCAAATTAATATAAAAATGTGGTTTTAGGTGACATAAAAGGCAGTTAGAAAGATACATATGACTGCAAAATCATATGTATGGCCACGTAGAAAGAGCAATGGTAACTGTGCCAGCTCCCCAGTAGGCTGGATAGAAGAGAAAACCTGGGAACCAAAGGAAGGCCTCCAGCCCTTTGGGTGGAAAAGAGCTTGGGTAGGAGCTTCACATAATGCATAGCCCTGGAGAGGTTGTGAACTTCCCACACCAATAAAATCAGAGACTTGTCCCAGATGGTTTTGAATCCACCTTTCACTTAAAAATGGTGATGCAGAAATAGTCATTTTTAGATAAAAGATGGATTTAAAACCATCTAGGATGAGTCTTTTATTTTGTTGGTGTGTGAAGATCTAAAAATGGAGGTTAGCTAAGTACCTCAAGTGGATAGAACACCAGGCCTGGAGTCAGAAAGATCTGAGTTCAAATCCAGTCTCAGATACTTCTTAGCTGTGTGACCCTGGGCAAGTCACTTCAGCCTGTTTGCCTCGGTTTCCTCATCTGTAAAATGAGCTAGAAAAAGAAATAACACTCCAGTATCTTTGACAATAAAACCCCAAATGGGGTCACAAAAAACTGGACACGATTGAACAAGAACAACAACTGAACGTAGTCACTCAGAAGGCTCACAACTACAAACTGTCTCCTACGGCTAATGATGTCTTGAAAATATATCATCACAGACAGGAATTCTGCCTGGCCACACAACAGAAGTGAGGCATAACCGATGGACATTCCAATCCATTGCACTGGATTCCACAAAATCATAAAATAATCCACAGAAAGGCTTCTCTGTATTAGAGAAGATGTTCCATGAAGGGGTTTATAAGAAGAGTAAGACCAAGAACCACATGAGATGAGAAGGCATGGCATGGCTAGGTGGAGATCTGCTGTAGTAAAGGGTCCACTTGCTCCCTGAGAACAAGAGACTTACTGTCTACACACACAACCTAAGTAGGCAGGTCACACCAACAGGGACAAATAAACTACCATTCACAGCACCAGTTACCCAAGGAATGGGTCAACGTTATTCCCAACAACCAGACTGACAGCCAATGAGCACTCATTAGTGCTAAGTCTCTCAACTGGAAATGAATGTTCATGACCACGTGGCCCATACTGTATGAACTTGGAAGATGGCAATCTGGATTTATTCTGTCCATTTCCTATGGAGCAAGTGACCTTCCACATGCCAACCAGAGCCCCTGGGACTTTCCAGTTCCTCCTTTACCCTCCTGGCTCAGCACTGTGTCTGCTATTTATCTGATTTTTTTCCCTCTAGTCTTGCATTCTATTGTTGAGAGTAAAAAGCCCTTGCTACCAATATTAAGGGGACAGGAAGGTATGTGTGGGGCATGAAACTCTCTCCCACTGGCAAAAGAAAGCCATGAATACACTCAACATTGCATTGCTACATCAAGATAATTCACCTTTCACCTCAAAGCCCATGCCAACTTTATCCATGTCATCACAGAGGAAGAGACAGGAAATGAAGCAACAGGGTTTGCCCAATTATTGCAAAAATCAATGCTGAGGACTCTGGAAAAATCCTGTGTCTCATTTATAACTTTCCAGACAACCAACTTTCCATACTATTTATAAGAACTCATCTTTATAGAAGGCTATACATTCAGTGTGCAAAGCACCTTCATCAGAACAGTCCTCCCATGTAGACAGGGGCAATATCACCCATTTTACAGAGTTGAAAACTGAGGTTCCAGGAATCCATCAACAATACTGGGGTTACAAAGCCAAAAGCAAAACTGAAGAGCTGATAGTACATGTTCATGTACATGCACAGTTCTATACTAAATATATCTCAAAGAAATGAATCGATATGCTCAAGGTAATGAATGCCAAAGGTAGCACTATTCAAACCCAAGACTTAAGACTCCATATGTAGTACTATTCCCACCACACGAGGATCTGTAGAGTCTCACAAGCTCCTGATGTAGATCGAAGGAAGATGTTATAATTTATCATATCAAGGAATAGTAGGAAAAGGGGGGAGTAAGCTGTAATCGCCACTTAGCAAGGCTTGGAGAGCACTTTCAGCCTAACCACTCTCTGTCAATCACTTAAGAAGGACAAAACTTTCCTACAGGATGAAATCAAAGATTTCCCCTGGTTGATCCTGTGAACAGAAATGCAATCACTTCCATAAAGGATTCCTTTTTAATCACCAAAACGGACACCATGCAAGCAGGCTCTTAACCTCCTGGATGACCCTTAAAACTGCTAAAGTCATTTGTGGAATAGGGTTTGAAGAATGTGGGACAAGTGAATGATTTGCATGTAGAAAATGTGTTTTTTTTCCCCCTTCCTGATTTCAAGAGCAGCCAAATGGCTTTAACACACTATTCTTCTCCCCTCCTCCCCCAGTTGTCATTAACAGTCTTCAAAATAACCTTGCCTAATATAGAGGGAGCATTCCCAAAGCAGAACAGGTCCCTGGGGGAGCAGGGAGGTCTCCTCTCAGAAATAAAGAGTTCCACCTTTTCTTTCCCCATTCATTAGTTTAAAACGGAAGCCAGAGAGAATCCTATTAGTAATGCTGGAATGAGAGGAATTCCATGCCGGCCTCCAGCCTTCCCCACTCCCAGCTCCCAGAGCTCCCAAATCAATAGGCGGAATTAACAATAGACCCTGCCTCACTAACAGCCTGGGTCTCAGAAGACCCCCATGGAAATCTGGCAACCATCAAAAGAACAGACTCCTTCACCATGTCCAGGACCTGCCTGGAACATGACACAAGGTCACTCACTCTCAACCAGCAACGAGGCCCCAGGGACCAGGGCTCAGAGTGGTATGAACTGCCCGGGTGTCCTAAGTCCTGGCTTAGCAGATGTGGAATGGATGGGGTCTGGGACAGTCACCAAGCTTATCTCTGCCAAGTCAAAGTGCATCTTTCTGTTGGGCGATGTGCTCATCTAGGAAAGGGTCAAGAAGTGCTGCTTGTTGAAATAATGATGAGAGAGGAAGAAAGGGAGAGAGAGGGGAAGAAGGATGTGGAGGGAGGGGAGGAGGAGGGAGGGAGAGAGGAAAGGGGGCAGAGACAGAGAGAGAGAGAGACTGGCTAAGCTTAGAAAAGTCAGAAACCACAAAAGTACATAAATGGAGACTCCCAAAACAATGCTGATATGAGGAATCACAGGACCAGAGATACCAGGGTCTGTGGAGACTGTCTACTCTAGTCAAACATTTTCACTTTACAGGAAACTGAGGCCCAGAGAGTTTAACACACACACACACACACACACACACACACACACACACAATAACATATATACAATTTTGAAAAAATGGAGTATTTTCTAAGAGCCAAAAGTATCAAACTCCATGAGATTCTTTTTAACAATTAAAAAAAAATTTAAACATTTTAAAATTTAAAAAATTTTAATTTTAAATATTTAAATTTTTATTTAAAGTTTTGAGTTCCAAATTCTTTCCTTCCTCCCTGAAATGGCCAGCAATCAGATATAGGTTATACATGTGCAATTACGTAAGACATTTCCTTATCAGTCGTTTTGTACAAGACTCAAATTAAAAAAAAAAAAGAAAGTAAAAAATAGCATGCTTCAGTCTGTATTCAAAGAATATCAGTTCTTTCTCTGGAGGCGGATAGTATACTTCATCATGACTCCTTCAGGATTTTCTTGGATTATTACATGGCTAAGAATAGCTAAGTCATTCACAGTTCTTCATCAAACAATATGCTGTTACTGTGTACAATGCTCTCCTGGTTCTGTTCACTTTGCTATGCATCAGTTCATGTAAGTCTTTCCAGGTTTTTCTGATATCATCCTGCTTTTCATTTCTTATAGCACAATAATATTCCATTACAATCATGTACTATAGCTTGTTTAGCCAATTCTTCACCAAGACAGAAAGAGCTGCTATAAATATTTTTGTACATGTAGGTCCTTTTCCCTTTTGGGATACAGACCTAGAAGTGGTATTGCTGGGTCAAAGGGTGTGCACAGTTTTATAGCCCTTTGGGCATAGTTCCAAATTGCTCTCCAGAATGGCTGGATCAGTTCACAACTCCACCAACAGTTCATTAGTGTCCCATTTTTCCTGTATACCCTCAACATCCAACACTTTCCCTTTTTGTCAAATTGGCCACTCTGATAGGCATGAGGTGCTACTGCAGAGTTGTTTTAAATTGCATTTCTCTGATCAATAGTGATTTAGAGCATTTTTTTCATATGACTGGAGATAG